TGTGTGTGTGTGTGTGTGTGTGTGTGTGTGTGTGTGTGTGTGTGTGTGTGTGTGTGTGTGTGTGTGTGAGATTTGTTGAAACAGCAAGATTACATCCTTGGACTAAAAATAGCTCATTGAATTCATGAAGGTATAGAGCATGAGTCAGCAGTTCTTTTTCCAGCCCTTCTGTGGATCTCCACTGAGCCGGGCGTCCTAAAGCTGCAGTTAAGAGCTTTAAAAACCAGCATCTAAAAGCAGAATCAGAGACGTCAGTTCAGCATGTTAGGGTTTACAGCGTGATCTGCAGACTCTGTGTGGGACCACACGCAAACATGAGAAGACAAACTCCTTTGTTTGTTTCTGGTGGATGTAAGCCAGCGTCGTCATCAGCGTTCTCCTCTCTGCTCTGTGACAGGTGTACTGCGCTCAGTGCTGCAATGACAGATGTAAGCTCAAGTACCTGGAAAAAGAGGCTCGTGTGTGCATCATCTGCTTTGTTACCATAAACAGAGGTAAGATCCTGCTTTTGTGTGCTTGGATGTTAAATGAGTCCTGCTGATCTGTGGAAACACATCAGTCAATAAAAATAAAAGCTGTAATAATAAAAGAACACAAATCTTCTTTAAGTCACTTTTAATCAGCAGCATCTCTTAAAGACCTGACATTCATAGGATGTAAACATCATAAACATCTGGGAATAAAAATAACAGCTTTGAATTTATAGCACTGGTTGTTTCCCTGAATCCAACTGTTTCTGGTATCATGAGTGAAACTGACACCACAAACACACAACAAACACTGACACCACAAATACACAACAAACACTGACACCACAAACACACAACACACACTGATACCACAAACACACAACACACACTGATACCACAAACACACAACACACACTGATACCACAAACACACAACACACACTGATACCACAAACACACGACACACACTGACACCACAAACACACGACAAACGCTGACACCACAAACACACAACAAACACAAGTGAGATTTATAGTATCAGGACACATAGAAGACACCTGAGACACAGTGTTTCAGTGGGACAGTTGAGGTTGAGATGGACGTGTGCAGAGGAGGGACAGTGGACGTGTGCAGAGGAGGGACAGTGGACATGTGCAGAGGAGGAACGGTGGACATGTGCAGAGGAGGGACGGTGGACATGTGCAGAGGAGAGACGGTGGACATGTGCAGAGGAGGGACGGTGGACATGTGCAGAGGAGGGACGGTGGACGTGCAGAGGAGGGACGGTGGACATGTGCAGAGGAGGGACGGTGGACATGTGCAGAGGAGGGACGGTGGACATGTGCAGAGGAGGGACGGTGGACATGTGCAGAGGAGGGACGGTGGA